GACTTGCGACTAGCGACTTGCCGCAAAGTTAAGCAAAACTTTGTTATTTGTTTTAAGTGGCAGGTTGCGCGGCGCACGCTCCAAGGACTGTCTTCTATCTGTAAGACGTTGTCAGTTGCTAGCTAGTTGCCTGACTCGTTTGCTTGGCCTGCCTTGCCTTGCCTTGCCTTGCCTCGATTCGCTCAACAGTTCATAAAGTTAATTTTGCCACAGAAATTATGTTAAAACGATATATGGTGGAAGGCAACATTTTTTGGCATGGCCCGACTCTGTCTCTGTCTATGCTAAATCCTATAGCCTGGGAATTGCAACAGAAGTTATTGAAATGGCTGGCTGGTAGGCAGGTTAAGGAACTTTTGGGGTAACTTATTTAACCTCGCAACGTTGCGTATGCGTAATTAGTGGCTTGCCTCTCAGGTAGTTGGCAATAGTTGTTGGCCTACAACTTTATTTATCTGTGGGTTATTTATGAAAATTAAAGTGCAGTGTCAGGGAGTCAGACAGTCAGTTAGTCAGTCAGAGAGTGTCAGACAGCCTGTGGCTCTGGCTTATTGAACTGTCAACGTTAAGCCATATAAATTGCGCATACAGAATGGCAAAAGTGGCAAAACTATTTACGAAAGTTCAGAGAGAAATCAAAGCGCAGAGCGCAATCAGCGCATAGCCAAGAACTTTTGATTATAACAAATGTTTTGCGGCAGCTTCAAGTGTGTGTGTGTGTGTGTGGTTGTGTGTATGTGTGTGTGTGTGGGGGAGGGGGTGTGTTGGGAATTACATAAGAGTAAGCGAGCAAAAATGACATTTGATAATAAATCTTTTGGTCAGTGCTTTGTGCTCGATGTGCGATGTGCGATGTGCTTCTTGCCATTAAGTATGTGTCGTGGGAGTTGGCCAACAATATAAAAACCCAAATGCGAAGCGAAATGTAATTTCTGTTTGGCACGAAAACTTTGAACAGCAATCGTATTCGTATCGTATCTCTCATCCGCCAATAAGGCATTACAACATTATCAGTGGGTTTGTGACAACAGCCAGTCGGACATTAATTGAAGTCAGTCTGTTAGTGTATAAACTATTCGTGGCATGCTCTTTTCGATGGTTTTACTTTTATTTATTTCAATAAAAAAGAAAATCAAGTAACTTCCGATGGCCGTTGCTGGACAACAGGACTACTCAATGAAAAAGTTTTGGAGAGCCAACGGCAGACACTTTTCATTAGCAAAAGTCCCTCTTTTGGTCGAGGGTACAAGCAAAGTTTTTGGGCAAGTTTCTTTTTTGGGATACTGTTGTTGTTTTGGCTGGTCTGCTCTGCTCTGCATGTGACAGACATGCCACAAGTATACACAAGTAATGCTGTAATGGCATATGTTTTGTCCAACTCGAACTTGGCACTAACAAACCGTGTTTGCTCTTCTGCTATCTTTGCAGACTTTGGCAAGCCTTTAAGCTACCGTTACAAACAGGAACAACGGTAAGTGTCGAAAATGCTTACAACTTGCGAGCGAGTGAAAGAGTGAGTCGATGAGGAAGTGAGGAGATGAGGAAATGAGTGGGTGAGTGACATTTGCCAGAGCGCCTAATTGTAGGCAATTAATTTGTGGCACATCAAAGCAAAGAAAACGGAACCCAAGTCATGAAAAGTAAACAACAAAAGACAAAAGCAAATGCAGCTGGTGTCCATTTTAGGTGGTTGTTTCCGGAACCGCGACAAGGAACATGGAGCGTCGAGCGTCGAGCGTGGAGCGTGGCAAACCGCACCTTTTAACCCTTTACGTTCGCCTTTGCCTTTGCCATTGCCTTTGCCATTGCCTTTGCCTTTACCATTTCCCTTGCCACATGCCATTTGTTTCCAAGCTTGGGGGTTGGACAGCACACAGTGAGAAGTGGAAGCAGAGAGACAGACACCAAACGGAAGCACATGCAACTCTAATATCCTTGGCAAACAGAGTCCCACACAACTCTCCGGTGGCTAGTCCGAAAAGCAATTTGCCTAACATTGCCAGGGCGTTAAGTAATAATGACCCCAAAAAGTAGAAAAGCATATTGGCTGGACTCGTCGCCGTATACGCAATGTCTATGTAAGACATATATATGTATATATATATATATATATATATATAACTTTTTTTTATCGTTTTCGGTTTGTCCCGGCCCGCTGCTGAGGTCAAATAAAATATTTATGAATTGCAGGCAATGCGGAGCGGCTTAATTGCATTAGAGCCATGTACCTCAATAAGTCCAGAGCAAAAGGAGTAGCAGTAGCAGTAGCAGCAGCAGCAGCAGCAATAGCAGTCGTCATGTGAGCTCTCGAAGGGTGTCCATAGCAGGAGCAGCAATTGGATCGGCTTTTTGGGTAATTGTGGCTACAGGGTAAAAGGCATTACAAGTGTAGAAACCAGCCGGGGGTTGAGCGTGTGAGATGCCAAAGTGTTGGAGAGTTTGGGCTTTTAACGGGTGTTGGGGAAATGAGTGGTTGCTATTTCGCTTCTGGGGGCACTTGCGGCGAAAATTTGCGAAATCAATCGTGTGGAAATTGTACAAAATGGCTTTCCGAACTGTAAATCACTGGGAAGGGGGCAAGAGCATATAACGCATTGAAAGCTGCCAATGACAAAAGACTTGGGGCGTTGAGAAATTTGATGAAAAAGATTGTAAATAGACAGGCAAAGCGGTATAAAATACTTGCCCAACAAAATATACAGTGTACAAATGTTCAAACAGACTTAAATCCAGATCTATTCAAGCTTAAACTATTGTCTGTGTTCACTCTCCTCTGAAGAGCTCAACAAAAAGGATTTGTAGAAGCATTTAGCGTTTATTTTCCAAGTTGTTGTTATCTAATATGTTTTCAATTCCCTTTTTTGCTGCTGCTTCATTCGTTCTTCTCTTTTCAATCGACTTTTTAGCTTACTTTTTTTTATTTTTTTATTTATTTGCTCTTCACTTTTCATTGTTATTTCTGCCATTAAATTCTATTTCATCACATTCACATGCAAATCGCAGTAGATTCTTTCTCACATATACATATTGTGTGTATACTGCTCTCTCTCTCAGTCTGTCTCTTTCTCACTCTCAATATTCCTGTCTCTTTCTGTTGCTATATCTGTGCGCGTTAATGTGCTCAATTGTTTGTCTGCCTCGTGCCGAACTGAACATGTAAATGTTGTTCGGGGGACTTCCACACTTTCTTGCCCTCTTCGTTGGCGCTCATGCTCATCTTTATTGTCAACGATGCGCTGCGCAGTGAAAATTAATCAAAAAAACTTTTGCCAACAACATTTTCAATTGACAATTTAAACTTTTATCTCGCAAGACATTTTACATAAAAGTTTTGTGTTAAAAATTTTGCTCAACTAAAAATGAAAAATGTTGCACGTCGCTTTGCCGCTTCAAATGGGGTTCCAGTCAGAGTCACCGGAGTCGTAGGAGTCGAAGGAGTCGTCGCTCCAGTAGGCATCTCTCAAGCTATCAAAACTTTTGACGCTTAACTTACACTGGCGCTAGAGCAAAGCGTCGAAATGGGATCGGGTGTGGGCAAGGTGGTCGCAGGGAGTGGGAAATGTGGAGCTTTTCCTTTGTGCTCTTGTTATTATTGTTGATGATAGCTGCGTAAGCAACGCAGCACTTGGGCGTGCCTCAAGGGGTGGATAGAGATGTTTTGAGTAGGCTGCTTTGTGGGCGAGCGGGCGGAAGCTGAGGGGTAGCACCCCTTTTCATAGTGCGTGTGTGTGGAAATTGGAGGCACAAAAGCAAGGCAATGACGCCATAACAGGCTTAGGCAATTTCACTACACACGCACCTCAATTCAGTTTATGCGTTCCTCATATCAAGTTAAACGATGCACATATTTAACGATTTTTGATTGTGATTTGCAAAATATTGAATTACTTCAAGCAATAAGCAAGCTAAAAATACAGCTTAAGTCTTTACTTATACTATACTTATATTGAAAATTGAGTTTAGTTATTTTTTCACTTTTTTTTCATAGTAGAATTCTCTGTGCAAATTCCACATGCATATTTTTTTAGATTTTATATACATATATTCTCCTGTACTTATATATTAAATATTTTAATTAATAAAGCTAAGCATATATTTTTTAAGCTCAAACACGCACTTTTCGTGAGTTGCTGCCACGTATAAACCTTAACACTGGCATAACTAAACAAACAAAAATGATTTTGCTGCTCGTCGTATTTATTTACATTTTACAAGGCAACTCAAAACACACAAACACACACATAAATTTTAACAGGAGCAGGAAGAGTCATGAGGGGCACAGAAACATGACAACAAGGCGCAAAATTATGCACAAAGTTGCCATTTCTACTCGTGTGTGTGTCTGTGTCTGTGTGTGTACGAGTGTGTGTCTGTGTGTGTACGAGTGTATGTGTATGTGTGTGTGTAAGGGAACTTTGAAATCCCAGCACCATTTCTGTCACACACATCAGCAGCAAGCATCAAGCAGCAGGCATCAGGCAGCGAGCAACAAGGTGGGCTGAACGCAGGAGGTGCGGTTGGAAGGGGGGCAAGCATCAGCCGAGCAGACAAACTCAACCAGGCACAACCCAGACACATGCAACAAAATTCAATATGGCGGCAGGGTTGCTAACTTCTGACAGATGACTCCTTCAAACTCCACCCGCTGCCTGTGCCTCTGCCTCTGCCATCTCCAAAATGAAAGCTGTGTGGCATGTTTGGTGTCTGTCTGCAAAAGTGTAGAAATTTTGATAGCATTTTAAATGCTCTACACACTTTCGAGGTGTTAAGGATACTTTTATTCTCATGCCAAAGTGCATGAATAGTCTAGACTCTAGAGAGAAATACTATGGATTTAGAACATCTTACAAAACACCTGCACACCTACAATTTTACAATGCTATTGCTAAAGTGATACAAATAAAATAATATTAAGAGAAATCTTGAATAAATAAATGTATATTTTTAGGTTAATAGCATTTATTTTAGAAACTTTAATTTAGTTTATTGTTCTTCTAAGAACACATTCTTCCTTTAGAGATTGCGACTCTTAAGTTGTCACTTAAAATTCGACATTTGAGCTTTACCATTCTGGAATAAAACAGTTTTGTATTTTTACACCGACTTTGTGTCGATATCCTTACTTGGTTGACTCTGCAGCGCTCTGTCAACTTTCATTGCTGGGTTAAATGCAGGAAACTGCCATCGAGGATGTTCTGTTGTCGTCATCTCTGTCGCTGCTGTCTGTCAATTGTTTTTGGCTGGCAGTGTGTAAACATCATTTAAGATTTTGTGCTGATGCTGATTTAGTTTGATTTGGTTTTCAAAATCCAAAACGATGGTCTGGGGAAGCGAACAGATTGCCGAACAGAAGCTGTTTGCCAAGTTTTGAGCGAAAACTTTGAACATAAATTGCTTATCGCTGGAAAAAACAAATACATTCAATGCGAGTATGAATAAGGCTATACAATAATTTCTCGTTTATGTATTTTCAAGCAGTTGGCGAAACTTTGGGCCAAAAATCTAATTTACCTAACAATAATTAGGAAAAAGGCAAGCGCAAATTATGTATTATAATTTATGTTAATTACTCAATTACATTTGTGCCTCCTGGCTGCCAGATATACCACCAGCCATGGCATACCTCCCCCATTTAGCTCTTTGCTGCTCCTACTCCTGCTCCTACTCCTGCTCCTTGCTCCCGCTCCTGTCACCTTTGTCCAATTAAAAATTCCAAACACAAATGCGCCTCATTAATAAATATGAAACGTCAATGGGGGCCAGGCCACTATCGGAGCTGGATTTGGAGTTGGTGAAGCCAGTGAGAGGTTGGGCCACCCTGGCCGGCGGGCGTGCCGCAAAGATTACGCAAGAAATCAATATTCAAGTGGGCCAAGCGAAAAGGGGTTCGACATTCATTCCCTTTCCCCCCCTTTGAGTTTAGAGAAAACTGTCGCGTACTACTGCGGAGAGTTTGTCCTTAAATTTAAATAAATTACACACGTTCGACTTTCGGTTCGACCAACATTTTTTTTTTTCGTTTTCGTTTTCGGTTTCGGTTTTTTTTTGTTTTTTTTTTGGGGTTGACATTTACGTTCTCTGCGTCTGACATACGAGCGGCTCATTTTTCAAGGGCAGCAACAATTTCTCGAACTCGGCAAGGTGAGAGCGGATTTTGGTTTTGGTTTTGGGTGTGTGTATGTGTGTGTGAGTGTGTATTGTATGCGTGTGTGTGTGTGTATGTCTGGGCTCGGCCGCTTTGGCGCCCTCGTATAGCAATTTCCGTGTGGCGTATGTTTTTTCCTGTTCCATTTTCATGGCACTGCCATTGCCAGCCAGACCAAAAGATTAATGAGGTTTTTTGACAGCGAAAAATTAGGCAAAATGTGATTTAAGGGTTGCTCTCATTCTCCCTGCTCTGCCTGCTCCCTGCTCCCTGCCTCTGCCTTTGGCTTTGCCTTTGCTTTAGTACACCACACCACACCACCAAACACCTCCCCTACCACCAACAACCTCTATTCAGGCCTGCTGCTGGTGTGGCCAGAGATAAGCTCTGAGCAATTTTTTTTGGAGCACCCGGAAAAGCTGCGTAGATGCAATTTATTTTACTCGTATTTGCCAAGTGAAATTCTACGAATTATCGTTTGTGCCGGCATTGTTCGTGTGCAACACGGCAACTATTTATTTGATGATGTATTTTTATTACCAACGAATTTATTATGTAGCATGCCGCTCAAAATGAAGCAAGTAAAACATATGTTGAAAGCCTCTATCGCCACAAATTTATTTATTTACGTTCCATTTCTTTTTTGGTATACGTACTATTATTAATGTCACAAAATTTATTACAGCCTTAACTTTAAAATTAATTATAGTTGATGTAAGAGACCACTTGAGAAAATTGAGTTTAATAATAGACAAGAAATTGCAGTCGAATATTTGAAATATAAATAAATATCTGTTGTCTTACATTAAACTCGCTATTCTTTGTCAACAAGTGAAATAATCAGAATTGGCTTCTTTCGCACTATTTTTAACTGCTTCTATTTCACACTACTTAATGAATTCGTATCGATTATTTATTTTCAACTTCCCGACGTAGAAGCTTGGTTAAGTAAGTAAATAGATGAAAGGCATCATCAATTCACAATTTTCTTCTCCCTTTGAGTTTTCACGCCTCGCTCCGGCTTCCGTCTCTGTCTTCCGGGATTCCCCTACTCTTTCGTAGGCGGCAACTTGCTGACAGTTTAATGGGCGCCTCAAAAAATGAAATGAAATTTTTTTTTTGTAATCATTTGATTTACAAGGCATCTTAATTTTGTTGCATTCTTTTCGCAATCTGCAGAATGAAATTGTTTGTCAACGCGACAATTTTTCAACGCTTGCAAATGAAATATTCAAACAGAATATGCGCTGATGATTTAATAACGCACAAAAAATGATTGTCGATTGAAAAGTTCAAATTCAATGTCTGCCCTACTGGATTGTGCAATTAATCAAGAGCTAAATTTGAGCCATTTGTTGTGGAAATTGACTAGAAAATCAGCCTTCTTCTCAAAACCGATTTCCATTCGCTTTCCATCAGCCGGGGGGCTCTCACTCAGCGCCCCCCTTTTACGCCGACTACAACCACATACATATATATATATATATATGTGTGTGTGTGTGTGTGTGTGCTGATACATATATACATAGCTATATTTATATAGCCCCAATGCCAGTTCCGATTCACAGTTTGGGCTGCTGCGACGGGCGGTCGCTCGATTTATGGCCGAACAGTCTAAGTGCCTTTAGATCAAAGTGAAACAAACATATTGCAATCAATTTTTGTTGCTAATGAGCTAAATTTGATTTTATTGAGTTGTGTGCGTGCGCTTCCATCAATTAGTTAGCGGTGAGCAGGGGAACGCCATTGTGACGTATACGTAATTTCTGATCTGATGCAAGCCACTTTATAATTGTACGTATACCGAACTGAGATGAGCTTTTATTAGTTTTAATTTTTACTGGAGTCTAGCGATGGAGAAATTCGTTAGTGGAAATCTTTTCCAATAGGTATGAAAAAGTTTAGCATTGTGCTAAATGCTATACAAATTAATCAGAGAGTTGGCCGCGCATTCTGTGTTTATATGAGACGACTAATTCTATATACGAGTACTTATACGATAATTTCTTTACAAATATTTAAAGATACGATTTCGATTTTAATTTTAGAAAATACGTTAGTTGTGGTTGCAATTTCTTTGTTAAACAAGAGAAAGCAGTTAGCTGAAGCACGTCAAGATTGCATATTCATGTAGACCTGAATCAAATTTCCCACATCTTAATGGTAGTTTTATAGTATAGATGAGAGACTTTTTGTCTCCCTGTCTACAGTTAATTAATATATGTATATGCTCCAAACACTAGACTGGGATAATATCTATATTCATTAAATTGACTTAGATTTGGTCAGAAATATGCCAACCACAGCATTTTTCTTTTCCTCTATGTTCATATCATATATCTTGTTCACAAGTCACATTTCACGCTCTTTATAATTTTAATATTCGCTAACACACACACACACAACCCACAGCCCACAACCCACACCCCTCCGCTCCGCTCTGTGTTCACACCCCACCAATGTTGGTATCCCGCTTGTAATCTGTGTGACCTTGTTAAGCGGTTTTTTCTAATTTAACGCTACTGCGCTGTCGCTTCTGTTCGCGATCCCGAGCAGCGGGCTGCTTGTAAACATGTCGGGATCCTTTCCATTCCCGGTACTCCCTAAACGAGCCTGTGGCGGCTGCCACTGCCACTGCCGCTGCCACTGCTGCTGTTTCTGTTGATGCTGATGTTGCTGCATTCTCAGCGTTGTGAAATTAATAAATTAACTTCCTTGTGCCATAAATCATTTTACTTGCCTGGCTGGGCTGCCAACTGCGAACATTTTGCGCCATTAACCAAAGTCGTTTCTTCTTGCGGTGCTTTTCACTTACCCTTAACTGTCGGACGCCCCAAAAAGCCACAGCAACCGATTCCAAATGGCTCGGCCTGCGCCTCCATTTGCTGTTGCCCCTACTTCTGCCCAACTCTGGCAACCATCATCATGATGATGATGATGATGATTATGATGATGCTTATGAAAATTCGGCAGCTTGCATAATCATCGCGATACAGCTGCTGCTGCTGCTGCTTATGACTGGCTGCTCCAGTTGGTAGGCCTAGTTGGAGGGCTGCCAGTGAGGCCAGAGTCAGCCTACTTTCTGTCCCAATCATAATTTGTGCTTTACATAAATTAATGGCCACCAGTTCAGTTCCATGGGCAATGCCTGATTTTATTTGCTGCCGGCTAACGCAACAAAAACAGGCCAAAAATATTTCGCACATAAATTGCCACAGAACCAGGAAGCACACAACTTAAAGGTGCTTTGCCCAGAGAGCTGTTCTATCTCTTTCTCTCTCACTCTCTCTCTCTCTTTTTCTCACAGTCTAGCTATCTCTATCGTGCTCTTAGCCAAACACATCCCTTTGCTCTGTTATTTACACAGTCTTCATGTGTTTTATGGCATGTTTTTCGGGTAGCTTTCAAGATTTATGACTGCTCTGGCTGCTTGGGAAATGTAGTCTTAGCTTTAACCGGACGGCTTTAAATCGCTGCTGGTCTAAATGTCTCAATAAAATCATATAACCCACACACACACACACACACAGAGAATGAGCTAATTACTGGTAGTTTAAATTTAACTTACGTCATTATTGTTTTGCTCTCGTTAATTGTTATTGTCGCAACCCTCACAAATCAATATTTACAACTTTATTATGACTTTGCCGAGATTCACTTTCCTTACGCTATATGCATTAATTTGACGAGCGCCCTCCCAAAAGAAACTCAATCCGAAAATTCGAATCCGTTAAACGTAAAAAATCAAGAGCCATAAAGAAAACCCATGAAAAATGCTAACAAATGCAACTGAAACTGAAAGCACAATTGCATTCCTGATTGGTAGAGGAGGGGCGAGGAGGCGTCGTGGCGTGGCGTGAAATGGAAGTATCACGAGAAGAAAAACAAAATCATCATAATAAAAATGCATTCATAAACATGAAATACGATGCAGTGGGCCGGGGTTAGTTTCAAACGTCAGCAGGGCCTCCCCTACCTCCCTCCTCAACCAGTCAGAGTCAGGGAGTCGTCAACGCGCTCTAAGCGTGAGTCTATTAAAAGCGCATAAAAATAACTTTACCGTTTTACGAGGCCGACACGTCGAGCGTTGCGCAGGCGTCCGTACAGGGAACGAACCGGCCGAGCACGGACCGTACACGGCTCTATGTGGCCCCCATCATGTGGTCGCCCGGTCGGGGCTCCGGTTCTCTCTCACTCTGTGTGTGTCTGCATTCGCGGGTTAATTAAATGACGCCTCTTGCCAGTTGCCAGTTGCCAGTTGCCAGTTCAGTTTGTTGACGATGACTGCACGCCGCACACGTGTTTGCAATTGTGTGTGTGTGTGCAGAGATGAGGGATGGGGGGGAGAAGTAAATGCCCCGCATTTTGGTTGCTCATTGGGGGAACACGCCGTGTGGGTTGTATTGGATTAGAAAGAAGCTCGTAAATGGATTGTAAATGGATTAGAAAGACATTTGAAATTGTTATGATGGCAGCACGGGGCCATCCATGGCTTAGGTGCTCCTATTTGATGCCCTCGACTTCGACATATTGCTGGAATTATTCTTATGTTGGGCATTATATAGGGGCTTTTAGCTTATGTTGTCTGTAATTTATTTCATTCATAACATGTTCTTCTGATTAAAGCATAAAAAATGTTACATAAATCCAACTATAAAAGTCAATGTATCTTGTATGCTATAATGCCGTCATTTTGATAAACTTTTAATACGGATAACAATTTTAAATATGCTTTACGTTTTCACTTGTTAGAGCGAAGAGATTAATCTGATTTTATTTGTGATTTGAAAGTCGATTAAATAATTTTCTCTTCTATAAAAACCTTCTGCAAA